AGTACCATAAGCAGGGAAAGTTCATTGATAGCATTTATATCAACCTAGTGTTTGGGTAAGGCAGGGGTGGGGTAGTGGCAAGAAAGGAAGCAGGAGAGAAAATCCAGGGGCAGGGACCTGGTCACATTCTTTTCTTTCATCAGGTCCTGGTTGCATGGGTGCGTTCAGTCTGTGGAAATTAATCGAGCTGCACATTCATAATCTGTGCTTTTTTCTGCATGTAGTATTCTTCATTAAAAAGTTTTTTGAAAAGAAAATATTTATATGAGTTTGTTCCATATGTACCAACATAGAAAGATGATCCAGACATATAATTAAGTGAACAAAGCAAGTAACAGAATAATTTGGTAGAATGAGTGAACATATATAACAAACAGCCGTAACTGTGTAGTCAACACAGAGGTGAGGATTTGGAGAGAAACTTTCATGTCTGGTGCCTGAGTTATCTTGAAATAAAAAGGAAAACTTGGAGAAATGAGAATGTCCCAGTTTTTTAAATTTTGTTATTGTGGTAAAATAGACATAACAAAATTTACCATTTTAACCATTTTTTATTAAATTTATTGGGGGTGACATTGATTAATAAAATTATTTAGGTTTCAGGTGTACGTTTCAGTAGTACAGCATTAGTATATTGCATTGTGTGTTCACCACCCAAAGTTAAATTTCTTTCCGCCCATTTTAACCATTTTTAAGTGCACAGTTCAGTGGCAGTAAGCACATTCACATTGTTGTGCAGCCATCACCACCATCCATCTTCAGAACTTTTTTATTTTGCAAAACTGAAACACTGTTCCCATTAAACACTGACTCTCCATCCCCCACCCTCAGCCCCTGGCACCCGCCATTCCATTTCCTGTCCCTGTAAATCTAACTCTTCTAGAAATCTCATATTAGCAGAATCGCACAGTATTTTGTGACTGGCTTATTTCACTTAGTATAATGTCCTCACGCTTCATTCATGTTGTAGCATGTGTCAGAATTTTCTTCCTTTTTAAAGCTGAATAATATTCCACTGTATGGTTATACCACATTTTGTTTATCCATTCTTCTGTCAGTGAACACTTGAGTTGCTTCCACCTTTTGGCCATTGTAAATAATGCTGCTGTGAACACAGGCATACAAAGATATTTTCAATATTTGCTTTTGATTCTTTTGAGTATAAATCCAGAAGTGAGATTGCTTTATCAAACGGTAATTTTTTTTTTTTTTGAGAAACCACCATTAGTGCATTCCACAGTGGCTGCAGCATTTTATGGGAATGTTCCAGTTTTACTGAACATTTCAGTATTGTTTGAATATTCTACTCCTAGATGTAAGCCTATAAGAAATGAAAACATACATCTACACAAAGACTTAGAGGCTAATGTTTATAGCAACATCATTCCTAATAACCAAAATGTGGAAACAATGTAAATATCTTTTCATGGATGGACGAATAAACAAAATTAGGAATATCTATACAAAGACATATTCTTTAGTCATAGAAAGGAATGACACACTGATACAGGCTACAACAGGAATGAACTTGAAAAACATTATGTGAAGTGAAAGAAGCCAAACAGAAAAGACCACAATTATATGATTCCATTCTTGTAAAATGTATAGGAGAGGGAAATCTATAGAGACAGAATGTAGATTAGTGATTGCTGGGGGCTGGAAAGCATGGATGGGATTGGGGGCAATACATAAAGGGTCCAGGGTTTCTTTCCGAGGTGATGAAAATGTTCTAAAATTGACAGTGGTGATGTTTGCACAACTCTATGAATATAGTAAAAACTATTGAATTGTACACTTTAACTGGGTGAATTGTATGGTATGTGAATTATATCTATTTAAAGCTGTTAAAATGAAGTGAAGAAGTAAACACTGAAAAAGAGTAGAAGAGGAAGGTCATAAGGAAGAGAAGAGACAGCAAATCAGTTGTGAAGCATCAGTTGAGGCAGCTGGACCCAACTCTCTGGGGCTGGACCCTCCTGAGTTTCAATGCCAAGTGTGCCAATTACTTGTTGGGTGGATCTTGGACAGCCACTTTACCTCTATGAGTCTTAGTTTTCTTTTCTGCAAAATAAGAGCAAACAACGCTGCTCTCTTTTGGCTGTTGAACGTTCGAGGAGATCGTAAACAAGTAAAGTTGGTATTATCTCCACCGCTGAATGTGGAAGAGATGGAGGTGAGTGTAATGATGGAAATGATGGATTAATGAAAGCCAGATGAGCTGGACCTAGGGGTGCCTTATGGAGGGGCTAGAGTAATAGCGCTGGCTAGTGTGGATGCTCTGCCTTAGCCTCCTTAGCCAGGGGGTGTTGGCTAAGCTTTGCCATCACTCATTCCATGAGTATTTGGCTCCATTTCCTCATCAAGGGTGTGTCCCTCTTGTCATGAACTTTCTTAAGTGACAGAAAACTTGCTGGCAATAAAGATCCACACAGCTGTGCTGCTCAATTCACAGACAGCCCCCCTCTCCCCCGAGTAACCTGGGAAGATCCGGCACTGTCAG